CAATATTGAGTCTTCCAGTCCATGAACACAGTGCTGTATAGCTCTCCTCTTAGGCAGTTCTTTAGCCTCTCTCTGCAGTTCCACCAGGGGGTGGGGCGGGCTGGGGGAAGGGATGGAGGCCCCAGTCAGCCAGTGGGGGCAACAGCAGATTCGGGGGGGGGGGGGTACCCAGCCCGTAGGCGGCAGCCACCAGGGACCCTTCCAGTGCTGGAATTCCATGCACTGGGCCTCTAGCAACAAATAAAACACTGAGCTTTGTGTGTTAACCTAATATCCTGAAACCTTGCTAAATTCACTTATTATTCTTAGTCGCTTTGTACAATAGATTCCTTAGGATTTTCTATGTAAACAATCACGTGTCATCTGTAAATTAAGACAATTTAACAATTTCTTTTCCAGATTTTATTCCTTTCATTTCTATTTTTTATTATAATTCAATGGGTAGGACTTTCAGTGTGATATTGGAAACAAATGGCCAGAGTGAGCACCCTTGCCTTACCCAATCTTAGGATGAAATATTCAATATTTTGGCATTAAATACATCAGTTGTACTTTTCAATAGATGCCATTTAGCCCTAGCCAGTTTGGCTCTGTGGTTACAATGTTGGCAGGTGGAATCAAGGGTCTTGGGTTTAATTCTATACCTTGGTTGCAGGCTCTATCCCTGAGCAGGAGACAACCAATTGATGTGGGTCTCTCATATCTCTCTCTCTGAAAATCAATGGGGGAAAATATCCTTTGGTAAGGATTAACAAAACAAAACAAAAAAAAGATGCAATTTATTAGATTGAGATTACCTTCTATTCCTAAATTTGCTAAAAAACAAAACAAAAACAACAAAATCCCCCAAAACCAAACAAACACCAGCCTTTTTTTAAACCAGATAAGGATGTTTTTCACGTGCCTTTTCTGTATTAATGAAATAATCACATAGTTTTTATTCTTGTTATGTTAATGTGGTAAATTATGTTTATTATTAGATTTCCAATCTTAAAACAAGCTAGTATTCCTGGAACAAACTTAGCCATGATATATTAGCCTTTTGGTATACTGTTGGACTTGATTTGCTAATAATGTTTTAAGAATATTTCATCTTATGTTCACGAGGGATATTAGTCTATAAATTTTTTTGTAATATCTTTGTCCAGTTTTGGTGTTACTATATACTAGCCAGAGTTGGAAAGTGCTCTTTTTCCTTACATGCCTGGAATAATCTAGTAAAACCTCTGGGCCTTGCCAAAACCGGTTTGGCTCAGTGGTAGAGCGTCAGTCTGCGGACTGAAAGGTCCCGGGTTCGATTCCAGTCAAGGGCATGTACCTTGGTTGCGGGTACATCCTCAGTAGGGGATGTGCAAGAGGCAGCTGATCGATGATTCTCTCTCATCAATGTTTCTAACTCTCTATCCCTCTCTCTTCCTCTCTGTAAAGAAATCAATAAAATATATTAAAAAAGAAAGCATCTTTGCTTACTTTCAAAATATTTGGGAATTTTCCTAGGTATCTTATTATCCTGTTTTAATATTTAAGTTCATTATGGTCTTAAAACATATTTGATATTGCCGAGACCGGTTTGGCTCAGTGGATAGAGAGTCGGTCTGCGGACTGAGGGGTCCCAGGTTCGATTCCGGTCCAGGGCATGTATCTTGGTTGTGGGCACATCCCCGGTGGGGGTGTGCAGGAGGCGGCTGGTCGGTGATTCTCTCTCATAGATGTTTCTAACTCTCTATCCCTCTCTCTTCCTCTTTGTAAAAAAGCCAATAAAATATATTAAAAAATCAAAAACAAAAACAAAAACACACAAACTTATTTGGTATTATATTAATCCTTTAAATTTACTGAGTTGTTTTATGGCCTAGCATACTATCTATATTGGTGAGAGTATACCTTGTACACCTGGAAAAGGACTAGAGACTGATACATCTTACTGAAGTAGCTTATATTTGAAAAGATTTATTCATGAAGACAATTTTATTATTATTATTATTATTATTATTATTATTATTATTTAGTAAGACAATTTTAAAAGATTTTCAATTCTGAAACCCACAAAAGAAGATCTGTCATGTTCTTGGTCTCATTATACTGGTCTTCCTTAATTATCATCTAAAAATATTTACTAATCAGCTCTAACCAGTTTGGCTCAGTGGATACAGCGTCAGCCTGTGGACTGAAAGGTCCCAGGTTTGATTCCGTCAAGGGCATATACTTTGGTTACAGGCACATCCCCAGTACGAGGTGTGCAGGAGGCAGCTGATTGATGTCTCTCTCTCGTCGATGTTTCCGACTCTCTATCCCTCTCCCTTCCTCTCTATAAAAATCAATAAAATATATACTTTAAATAAATAAATAAATAAATAATATCTATTAATCATAGAATTTGGTCAGTGACAAATATCCTAAATTTCCATTGCCCCTTTCCCCTCTCACACTGGGTTAAATAACTCAGTTGAGAATTACTTAGTAGTTAAAAACAACTTTAAATACTACAACACCATAAAGTAAAGCAAAATAATTATCACCATATTAACAAGGAAGATGCTGAACCAGTTAGGCCAGTTGTCTAAGGTACACGAAAGCAGGAACTTGCCAGAATTAGACACTGGAGTTCTTATAGTCTAATTATCATATGCCTCATCATTTAAAAAAACTGCTGTGAGAATTGTAACAACTCATGAAGAAACCTAAGATATACCAGAGTCAGAGAACCATATTACTGAAGTGATATTATAAAGATCATCTACTTCAATATCCTCACTTTTCAGATTGTTCAATGTCACACTTGTAGACACAGTAAAAGGAGAATCTGGCACTCCTAAATCCCAGTTCAATAATCTTCAATTACTCAAGAATACCAGCTATCCTTCACTGTCATTTCAAATTCTTGAGTTTATAAAAAATCTTCGATGTTTTCATTGATAATTATGAACAATGCATTCATTTAATTAACAATTAATTAATTACCTGGCCAGCTCCTATACTTGGTGCTAAATGAGTATTTACTATGTCATAGGCAGTTACTTGCATTTTCATATTTAATCTTCAAATATTATAAATTACTACCTCTATTTTAAGGAGAAAAATTTATTTTAAAAAGTATGTTTTTATTGATTTTTTAGAGAGAGGGGAAGGGTAAAGGGTAGAGATAGAAACACGGATGACAGAGAAACATCAATTGGCTGCCCCTGCACACCCCATACTGAGGTAGAACCAGTAGCCTCAGTTCCTGACACTCAAACACTTAGCCACACCAACTGGGCAAGGATTAAACTTTAGGAAGATCAAGCTGTCTGCCATGTTCCTTAGGAAAGAAATGCCTTATAACAGGTAAATGGCGCCCTTCTGCTACGGCAGCCATGGCTCTGTGGTACCCCATGGCTATGGCCCTCAACAAGGGCCACAAAGTGACCACGAATGCAAGGAGGCCGAGGCACAGCCAGGATCACGGGCACCTCACCAAACACACCAAAGTAGTGCACGTTGGTGAGGGACAAGGTCCAAGAGTTGTGTGGTTTGCTCCTCAGGAAGGGCGGCCCAGGAGGAGGAGCTGAGCGGAGTTCCGGCCGCAAGAAGAAGGGGAAACCAGCTGCTGAGGTCTGAGCCCCCTCCCCACTCTGTGCATGAACACCTTACAGAAAAAAAGGAAGAGGTATAATCACAGTAAGTTCACACCAACAACAACCTCATTTTTGTCTTATATAACTCTCTGTATGATTTCATTTGAAAAAGGAAGTATAGAACTTGGCATCAGATTAGAGGATGATGTTCCTTTTGGAGGGCCTTAGATATCTTTTTTTCTTACACTTTCCAAGACTCCAGAAAAGACAGCATTTTAACTGAAGGCTAGGAAAGTGATCATTTAAATAAACAGAAGATTAGGGGAAAGGCTTCTAGTACCATATAATGAGTTTGGCCTGAACAATACTAAGTAAGGTCCAAAGCAGAAGAATACGTACTAAGCTGTCTTAAGTATTACTCACAAAATAGTACTACAATACAGGTTACCTACTTTCAGAGCATAAACTCTCTATGGTATAAAATCAAGTTAATTAAAAGTTTCATTTACTGTCTATCCCAGCAGGAATTCTTTTATCTTTGATTGCCAAATAGATTGCACAAAGCCCATAGCAAAATACTCAAGGGCTAAGTAGTGTTATTATTATGGAGATTTAAATAAGCCTTGTAAGTAAATAGGAGCCTAAAGATATTCTTTTTAAAATAAATATTTTTGTACTGATTTCAGAGAGGGAGAGGGTGAGGGAGAGATAGATAAAAACATCAATGATGAGAATCACTGATAGGCTACCTCCTGTATGGTTCCCACTGGGGACCAAACTAGCAATCCAGGCATGTGGTCTGACCAGGAACCGGAACTGTAAACATCTGGTTCAAAGGTCTATGCTCAACCACTGAGCCACACTGGCTGAGTATAAAGAGATTCTTTTCTAAAAAAATACATATATATATTTAGAGAGGAAGGAAGAGGGAGAGAGAGCTAAGCAATCAATGATGAAAGAGAAGCATTGATCGGCTGCCTCCTTCCTGCACACCCCACACTGAGAATTGAGCCCCTAACCTGGGCATGTGCCCTGACTAGAAATTGAACCATGACCTCCTGGTTCATAGGTTGACCCGCAATCACCAGCCATGCCTTCTGGGCAAGAGATTCCTTTTTTTGGGGGGCAAGAGTTTCTTAAAAGCAGTGTTCACCCTAGGGTCAACCAATTAGGAAAGGAGAACATAGGAAAAATTGGAATAAAATTTTTTTTTTAGAATATTAACTTTAATAATAGGTCTGCTTTGGGAAATATTTATATAAGAAAACCAAGCAAACATTTAAAAAAAAAACTCACAAAAAAACAGCCCTTCCTCTCCCATGTTCAGTGTGTTTCTATCCTAGCCATTATCTGGTGATATAAATCAGAGACTAAGAAAAATGGCACTGTGATAAAGTCATCATAGCAGAATTAACCACATGCAGTATTTCAAATAGAAAGGGTTACCTGAGAAGTCTGTCAGAAGTCTTGCTAGGACATGCTCGTTTACCAGTTCAGTCTTGTTAAGGCTGGAAATAACATCTATAACAGGGGGCTTTTCAGAAACCCCAAGGTCAGATCCAGTCTTGACATCGATGTGTTCTAGGACATAGTGCGATCCCTGCGGCTGAGAATATTCTGGAACAAATGTGAAAGTCTGCCTGAGTATTTCTTCAGAAGGAGATTCTATTCTATCTTGTAACTTCTCCCCCTGCCTTTCACTCAGCTCTTTAAGGGCTTGGATTGTGAGCTGTTCCTGCTCCAAGTCCAGAGATGCCATTGAAGTCCCGTGGGCGGGGAAAACGTCCGAAAGTTCACTGCCACTTGTTCCTCTGTTTTGTTCAGAGTGTCTGCTTTTTAGGACTTTAATTTCAGAACCACCTGACTCACTTGCAGGCAAGACTGCTACAGGAAAAGTTGTTGTGAAATCCATAGTCTTCTCTTCTGTTGCTTCAAATCCATTTCCTTCCTCTCTATCTCCTATCCCTTTCTCCCTGGTTTCTGTAAAGGCTGCTATCAGGTCCTCTGGGGAAGAATCATCTATATATGTAATATTTTTTTCATGTAATGACTCCAAATAGGCAGAGGCTGTCACATTTAGTGAGAATTCTGTCTCATTAAAATTATCTGAAGATGCTGCTAAAGGAAGTTTTGGGTCCTCGGTTATAACCACCTTTTCAGCAGGAGTAATTTCACTCATTCTATCTGACTGCTTCACATCTCCTGACATGACACTCATATCATGTACTTGGGAACATGCCACCATACCAGCTGGACTCCTTTTAAGAAAATCAGGCTGAACTTTTGGCTCAGAGTCATTGATGGACCCTTCAAAGTTTTCGGATGTTTTGCTTTCCCTATTATAACTGTGAATTTTTTGGACATCTCTTTCATCTGCTTTTACAATAGCACTTGAAGTGGAGACAGGTTTTTCAGTCTGAATTTTGCTACTTTCAAATGCAACCTCAGCTGTGATGTCTTCTATTACTGTGTCATCGGACTCACCAGAACTATCCGCCTCCACCCCTTCTCCCACCGGAGTGCTCGGCCAGCTCGGTTCGCCTCTCAGGTGGCCATCAGGTCCAAACCCTGTCACTGTGGCCGCGCCAGAACCCAGCGAGACACACGTCTCAGATGGAGACACAGGTGACTCTGAAAGTGTGTCATCTTGTTTCTGCACATTGCCGCGTACACCTCTGCTATTGGCCTCTGTTACGGAACTGAGACAGTCTGGTACAGATTTTCTAATGACAGCATTTTCTTGTGAGAGAGATGATTCTGCCCCGTCACATGTTGATTTACTGATGGGAGTGCTCCCACTAACAGAACATACAGAAGTTTTCTGATGAGTGTTAGCTTTAAGATTTATAACTGGAATTTTTGAATTATATTCACTCATGTCAGGTCCTGCAGCTTTTATGATGTAGTCAGATTTGTCACTCTGCTGTTTCACTTGGGGAACCAAATCCCAAGTCAGTACCTCATTAGTGAAGTTATGCATATCGCTCACACATCTAGACACCTCTTCCAGTGCTGCAGTTGTGTGTGAAAACTGTCTAGTGAGCAATGCAGAGGTTGGGTAACACCCTGCCTCTTTCGTTCTCAGTGGAAATACTTTGTCATTAGACTCTGCAATGTCTGCAGGTGATTCTCTATCAGTGTGCATTGTCCAACTACCAAAATCATTTGTGCTCTCCTTATATGCATCTTTAAATTCTTTGTCAAATGCCGCTTTGTCAATAATTACTTCAAATGGGGATTCAGGGGAATCCTTTTCAGTACCACCACCTCCTGAAACTTTGCACGGGGACAAGGAGTATGTACAACTGCCTTCTGCCTTAGGCTGCTCGGCGGGCGGTTTCTGGGCAGTTAGCAAACTGAACTTGTCACCAGCATCCACGGCAGTTTTGTCGTCCCTACTCGGTATCTCATTTGGGTTCTTGGACTCTTGATCCTTATTTATTTGCTCTTCCATCTGGACAACTTTCTTTGAGAGAAAAGCAGGACGATCTGGGAAACGGGCTGGAATGGAAGGATGGTTACAGTGACCTCCTTCTGCAACAGAAACTGGGGAGTTGGCTGCGTCTTCACTGGTCCCCCGAGGCTTTTCCGTCGTTTTCACATCTGGAAGAGCCAAGCAGCCTTTCCCCTTTCCTTCTTTGGCTAAAACAGGCTGGCTGCCTAACTCTCTGCTTTGCTCTCCATGGAGTACTGTAAGGTCAGTGTTATATGTTTCTGAAGATGCAAAAGAGGAGGAAGTCCTAATTTCTGAAGGTGGCTCATCAGAGCAGAGAGAGCTCAATCCCTCTATGATTGAAATTTGAAAGAAAAGAATTGTTTACCAAGTACAATTACACATTAGCTAGTCAGGCCAAGCAGCATGCGTTTTATTTTTTTAAAATACATATATACACACAGGATGTATATATACACACACAAATATTTAACAAAAACAATGCCAACGGTTATCCTATAAAACATGCATAAAATTGCCAACGGTGAAACAGAAAAGCCACATCATGCTGCAAATTGCAAATGACAAAAAAATTCATGATCAATACTTCTCAGTCTGTTTTTTTCCATTGTAAAGGGAAAGCATAAAAAGAGATGAGACTGGAACACCTGGGAAAGTTTCCCTCCTTTGTTTTGGTAGAGCTATTTCATAGAAATTAATGCAATCCATACAAAATAACTTGATGTTATGAAGCACTGACATACTCATCTGTAAACTGAACAATTCAGAAGACACTGCTTCTATAAACCCACTGCTACAGTCTGAGAATGTGAGAACAGACAGTGGCCAGAGTTCTTTTTGATTTTTAGGCGATACAGTGAATCCCCTGAGCCTAAAAATCAGACTAGAATTATCCTGTTCTATCCACTGGGAGACTGGTCCCATGTACAGATGGCCTCAATTTTAAGCTAAAGGTACTGAAAAAGCTTGCCTGTTCAAAAAACCTAGCACCAATTTGCCAATGCAACTAAAACTGAAATATGCAAATTGATCTCTTAAGAGATAACTCTAGAAATCCTTTTAAGACAGAAAATATCATTCTAAAAAGTATACATTAAGGCTTACTAGTTATTAATACCAGTGTAACCGCTGATTTAGCACACTGCTTTCCAACTGCCCAACCTAGCAAGTTTCTACTGGGGAAAAGACGAAAAACAACTGTTCCGAGCGAGGGCAGGCACTGTCTTGGAACATTCTTCCATGTTGTTGGATCTTTAGAGTTGGAACAAAATTGGTCTTAAGTCATTCCATATGAATGAATCAAAGGTTCAGGCGAGACCTAAATAGACTCAGGGTAGCAAAGCCTTGAGTGAGTAATAGGGAAGATGTGAAAGAGAAAAACCCTTGGGATTACCCTTATTCAGCTTATATTCTTTTTCATGTGAGAAGCTAAATAATTAGACAAAAGAAAAATTATTACCTTATTCAAAACTGAGGCCCGACGCATGAAATTCATGCGAGGAGCTCAGCCCTGCGGCCCCGCCCACTGGTTGTTCAGGAAGAACGGTCCAGCTTCTGGTCTAATTAGCATATTAGCTCTTCATTATGTAGGATAACTTTATAAACTCAAAAATAAATAAGAATATCTTACTGCAATAAATAAATTCCATTATTATAAAAGTGTTCCTAAATGCCAGCTAACATTCCTCTATTTCAAGACATCACTGAAATGTGATGTAATACAATTGGGCCTTCAGAATAGTATGACTGAAATTTGGGTACAAGCATTCTACTCTATGACTCAGTGGCTCAATGGCTGAGCATTGACTTATGAACCAGGAGGTCACAGTTCAATTCCTGGTCAGGGCTAATGTGCAGGTTGTGGGTTTAATCCCCAGTATGGGGCATCTCTCATCATTGATGTTTCTAACTCACTCTCTCCAGGAAAAAAAAGGACATATATATGTATATACATATATATAATTTTAAAGAGAAGTGTGGTGGTACAGAAAATATTTGAAATAAGCTGCAATTTAAATTTAGTTTCAATGTCGTAAATAAACATGGTCACACCTATCATTATAAAGTATGATATTCAGCTAGACTGGATTAAGGATATAAAAGAACTCAGCATTATAGGTTAAAAGGTTCAAAACCCTGAAATTTGAAAAACTATTTAAAAACAAAAAAAAAAACAAAACTATAGGCTGCATTTAAGACAGAAATATTCCACAATATGAGCTATGTATTGTTACTGAATTTACTATTCCTATTTCTGTCAGGAAGCATTCAATGTACTAAATCTGGATTCAAGTAAAACGGGAACCCCTCCCTCCAAACAGGAACACACTGAGGTGTGTGAAACCGCCTCCGTCAGAATGCTCAGCCTACCTGCTCTATAGAGATGGAGATTTCAGAAGGTTCAGGCCTGTCATCTTACAGGCCGAAGTGAGCAAAATGAATTAGTAATAACTCAACAAAAATTTGAGTGCCTGTCATGCACCAGACACTTTTAGAAACTAGGTTAAAAGCAGTTGAACAAAACAGAAAATATATTTGTCTTTGTAGAGCTTACAATACAGAGCAGGAGACAAACAATAAGCAGAACCAGTAAGTAAAATGAGGATGACTGGGGGTGGCCTTGATAAAATGAAAGCAATTTATATTGATTGCTAACCAAAGAATACACACTTTGCCAGGGGTGCAGGGCTGGCAAGCATGGTAGAAGCATTCTATGCTTTGTCAGAACACAAATTTGTCAGTTTCCCAAGCCTTGCTTCAAAAATTTTGAGTGAAGTGTATAATAATCTGAAATAAAGTTAGATTAGGTCAGAATTCTTACTCTCACAATACCAACAAACAAGTCCTATACTGAACGTCATGACTGCCTGACAGACGGCAAGCATTTCTGTGGTGGTGGCTGCTGATCCTAACTTTTTACTAGCTGGGTTGGCTTGGTGGACTGAAGGGTCAGGCGCATGCAGGAAGAAGCCGATCAATGATTTTTTTTTCTCATCATTGATGTTTTTGTCTTTCCCTCTCTCTTCCTCTCTGAAATCAACGAGAACATATTTAAAAACAACAACAATCCTAACTTTTGAGAGTGGAAGGGAGGGAGGGAGGGAGACAGACAGAGAGAGAAAATCAAGACACATCGATTGATTGCATCCTGCATGAGCCCTGA